ACTTGGTTTTCAAAAGTACTGAGAGACCCTAGCAGCTCCTACTAATCTCAATTCAGAACCTTTGAAAATCAGGTACATTAATTTAGGTGCCTAAATGGGTGCCTATTCTCTGCCTAAGTCTTCTTTGTAGGCTATTAAAGATTTTAGCTAGCTAAGATTAATATGACAATTGGGTTTTACCAGTAGGATGGCACCATTTTCTTCATTCAGTGGATGGACATTTAGTCTGAATTTTCTTCCTTAATAAAAGATAAATCTTTTTTTGATCATAGGTTTTCCAGTAATAGGGCTGTGCTACCTGATCAAGAATTGTCCACACTTCAGGGACTTTGATTATTGCTTAGGCATTTTTCTTCCTTAACTTTAGAGTATATTCTTACTTTTTTGGGTGCTGTGGTGAAGCCAAAGTAGCAGCAGACTGAAAGTCTTAGCTTTCATGTTTAACATGAAAGCATAGAAGACTGTTTTAAACTATGCTTACCACTCTAGGATATTACATTTTGGACCCACTTTTTCTAGCAGCAACTGAAGTTTCTAGTATGCTACCAGAGTAATTATTCTTGCTGGGTCAGAGTTCTCTGCACAAGCAAACTCCACAGTGACAAGACTTACACAAAAGGAGAGGAATGTGCAGTAGGTTTATCAGGCAAATTTCTCTGATGCATACACCTTACTTATCCAAAAGGTTGAGGTTTTGGGGGTCTTTTTAGGGGTAGGGGGAAAAAAAAACACCAAAAAAGATCATAAATGCAAAGTGAAAACTAGGTTTCTTTGGCAAGAGCTATTCATCAGTGTGATCATTCTGACAGAAGAGGTAGTCAAAGGAACCTCAAGGCATGAATATGCAGAAACCGAAATGGCTACTGCAATCTGAGTGACAGAGAGGACAGACTATCGTCACAAAATTTTATTCAATAAAATATCAATTTTTCAATCATACAAAAGGGCTAAATTTGTAATTATGCATGGCTGGACTAAATACTGCAGGCCTACACCCATGGCAGACAGATTTTAGAAGAGATTTTTGTCCTGTTGTACGCACAATGTAGTCCATTAGCAAAACCAGATCTATTGCCAGAAATTGAAAATCCCAACTCCAGGGATTAAAGCAGTTAACATGGGCAAACTCATCTGTAGGGAAACTAAGCAATTTCACAGCCAGTTCAAGAAATGGGAGCTAAACCTCTCCAGATGCATATGCGATAGGCAAAGGACAAAAAGCACACTTTAAACAATGTAATTTGTTTTTAAAATTATATTTCAGAATATTTGCAGTAGCATGCAGAGAAGAAAACTTCGGAACTATGAACTGTCCTACTTGTAATTGCTCTGCATCTTTCAAAGAGATATTGCAAGCCAGCCACACAATTGCTTTATTTTAAATCACTCAAGAAATCTTTTCTTAGAAAAAGGTAGAACAATGAAATTTACCCTTGCAACAAAGCCAATAAGAAAGCTGATATGAAAGCATGCAGTTATGAAATATATTGGACAGAAAAAGTGAACTATTGTAGAGAAATGGAATGGGACACTTACACAGTGGCTCTTTCTCAGGGGGTCCTGAGGTTACTATGTTCTTAAACCATCTAGACTGAATAGCAGGCTGGGAAGAAGGGAGCCACAAACAATCCACCAGATGACAATGCTACACAGTGTAGAGACCAGCATAGCTAGGAGCCATCTAGAAAGGGTTGGGAGGGGGAGGAAAAGATGAACAAAAATTCAAACGGGAATGCTATTGGTGCATTTTAGCCAGTTAAAAGTTTTAAAAAAGCAAATCATCCTTTAAACTGGGCCAAGAATTTTCTCCCTTTCTACTGTTACAACAGTCATGCAACCATTTCATGTGGAAAGTTTTATCCATGTGTTACTTGGGACCAACTTAAACTAGGTTTTCTGAGAACCTGAAATAACCCCACAACGGCTTTCAATTCCAAGGAAAGTCTACTGCACTATTTTAAAGAGAAACAAATTCTGAAATAGCTTAATAAAGCAACAAACATTTGTTGCCCTCTCTTCAACCATATTAGCAATACAGGCTGGTCAAACTAAACAGTCTCGGTGAGCCACTGGATTCACTACTTCTGCTTCACAGCTGTATGGTATTGTAATATCAAAGAATCAAAGCCATAACCATCTACTAACAGAGCAAACAGAATTATACAAGATACCCAGACGGTGAGGGCCAATTGCCTTTCTACATTCAAAATTACAACTACTATTCAGTATGTTGTTACCTCAGGACACATATTTCTAACTATAACACACATATAAAGGATCCATTCATCAAGGCATAGAGGATTTATGCAAGTAACTTTGATAAACTCTAATGAGCATTACACACAAATTCCTTGTGCCTTAATAAGAAAATAACAGCCCTAGTTCTTAATTCCTCTCCCCCCCACATTCTACCTTTTTGTAAACAAAGTGTTTTGTTCTCTGAGATAGTCTTACACTAAGGAAATACAAATCTCATTCTGCTTTCTTCCTATTAATAACCTTGCTGTTCAAATGATGAGGCTTAATTATGTGTAGGAGAATCTGAACTTTAAAAAAGTCTAATAGCTATTCAACCTGGAAGGATACCCTACTTGATTAGGATAGCAAGAGAATATTTTTGTAGTATTGTTATTTTGGGAGTAACAAAATTGATTACATATCATTTAGCTCCTTGATGTAAATTATTTCAGTATGTACAGCCAACAAACATGATGTCGGGGATTGGGAAGAGGGAAGTCAAACTCCCCAGAAGAAAGGATTTAAGAGATTTTTTTTCCTTCTAACCACAAAGCACAGTACATAAGGATACTATTAGCTTTAGCTCATTTATGTTAATCTTATGGAAAGGCAACCAAGTAAGTTGTTTTTGATTAAAACAGTCATGTTATGAAAAATTTCTTTATACAAGCTTATTGAATAGAACAGCCTATAAACCAGCAAAGAAAAAAAACCATTTAATGCATCAATATGATGGTTATGAATGTGTTCTGTATCATACAATGAATACTCATTCCAATGGTGATTCTGCAGATGCAGTTTGTTATGTGAGAGAGGGATAATGCTTATTTATTATGTTATTTGACTTTAGAAAAGTGGTTTTCTTGCAACTGGAGTGTGAAGGAGCCAGGCGCAGGCTGTGTTTAAGTTAACTATATCAGAAGACTCTGGCTGTAGACCTAATTTTGCAACATTTTGTAGTTTGGTTTTCTTCTTTATTTACAACATATTCTATAGTTAGCTTAAGATGTATTTTCGTTGTATAAAATCCTTTATTTACCTAGTTTCCTAGGGCACTTAAGTTAAAATATTTATATTTTTATGCATTTATAAAAGGTACTTATCACCATAGTATCTAGGCACCAAAGCAATATTTATTTGGTATACAGAATAGCTGTCCATGGTAATGTAATGGAAAATAAATTTAGGACACTGATAAGACAGAGTAGTTTGGGTGTTTTAAAGATATATTCCTTTACTGTTAGATTAGTGTATATTTTTTACTACTATTTGGCTCTCTGCTCTCCTGATTCAGAAAGGATCACAATGTTGTTTGTCTTCTGTAGAACTTGTACCATTTTTCTGTCAGTCCAGCCACAGCACGGTGATATGAAACAGAAGAAAGGAAGACTAAGTTTAAAAAAAAAAAAAAAAAAAAAGCAGCTGTCTAGGTGTCTCAGAATGTAACTCCTAGGTGCAAAGACAACCAGGGTAGAGACTAAGGGTATGTCTACACCCAGCCGCTAGTTCGGCGGCTGGCAATCGAAGTTCTGGGTTCGACTTACCGCATCTTGTCTGGACGCGATAAGTCGAACCAGGAAGTGCTCGCCGTTGACTGCGGTACTCCAGCTAGACGAGAGGAGTACCGCGGAGTCGACGGGGGAGCCTGCCTGCCGCGTGTGGACCGAGGTAAGATCGAACTAAGGTACTTCGAACTTCAGCTACGTTATTCACGTAGCTGAAGTTGCGTACCTTAGTTCGATTTGGGGGGTGAGTGTAGACCAAGCCTAAGTTTCCTTTATTCTTGAGCTCAGGAGGCATGGTGGCTGTGAAATCTAACAGGTAATGATGAAGTAGATAGTAACAGTCCTGGCTATCCTCGCTCTAATTTTGATAAAGGAGCAAAGGAGTTCCCCTGCTGCTGCAGAGGCTCTTGTATTTCTCTTTTACTATATGTGAAGGCACCAGGAAATCAATCTATCTTGCAACTGTCAGCAACAGATGCTAAGGTCAAAGGTAGATATGTCGCTTCCCTTGCAGCTGATGTTGCACTGTCTACCAGAGACAACTGATAAGTAGCCTGTGGCCAATGCTCTCTTTTTGGCCTGTAATCAGTGTCTTGGGATCATCATAGGTACATACATCCCCTTTTGAACTTATCCAGTGAGAGTTCTCTTGAAGTTTTACTACTCCTTGCCTAGGCAGAACTGCTCACATGAAACTACCAGCAGTTCTTATAAAACTAGCAGCATCTAGGGAAGGACCTTCCCCCAGAAAGATGAAAACAATAGGAGTTAAAAGTAAAAAACATTTAAAAAAGAAAGTTTCATCTTCTAATATTTATTTTATACTTATTTTAATAAATTAACTACACAAATTGAGTGAGTTGATCAAACACTACACCTTAGAGAGAATGACCTCTAATTTTTTTAAATACCATAATACTGAATTCAAGGAAGCGTTTGTGTTCTAACAGACTGAGCTGTCAAGAACATGCAGATACACAACCAGGCGAGTAGGCACATGTAGCATATACTGGCAGTGGGTCATTCTGGTGACAGAGGAAACAGAAAAGAGAAGGAGAAAAGTTGAATACCATTGTTTAGCCAAAAAATCAAAACAAAAACGATCAACCAGTCACTAAGCCTACAGTGAATTAGTGAATCCATGCTTCCTTTAATCAATGTGAGCATAGCCTTTTCAATGAACATTCAGAATGGGCAAAATGGAAAACACTTCCCCCTCTCTCTTTTGGTATTTATATACACAAAAAGTTGACTTACGTTAGTGGAACTGTGGTTGCAGCCTTTGCCTGCCTTTTACTCTTCAGGGCACGAAGCTTATCACCTTGTGTTACACAGTTTGCATCATCTTCATCACTGTACTGGATAAGTAAACAAATGATAAGACAAGGATTTTAAGTTTTACCCATTAATATCGCAGTTTTATTTTAAAAATTATAATGTACACACACACTAACTTCTTCAAGAACAAAATTTGCAGGTGTAAATTAAAGCACATTTACTTGTATAAATACAATTATATCTTCCCTAAGAAACGGTTACTCACCTTCTCGTAATGGTTGTTCTTCGAGATGTGTTGTTCATGTCCATTCCAAGCAGGTGTGTGCACGCCGCGTGCACGCCAGCTGGAAGATTTTACCATAGCAGCGTCCGTAGGGTCGGCTCCGGCGCCCCCTGGAGTGGCGCCTTCATGGCGCTGTATATAGGGGCCAGCCGACCCCCCACCCCCTCAGTTCCTTCTTGCCGATACTCCGACAGAGGGGTAGGAGGGTGGGTATTGGAATGACATGAACAACACATCTCGAACAACCGTTACGAGAAGGTGAGTAACCGTTTCTTCTTCTTCGAGTGACTGTTCATGTCCATTCCAAGCAGGTGACTCACAAGCCCAAGTCTAGGTGGTGGGGTCAGAGGTCACTGCAGACTGGAGGACTGCGCGGCCAAATGCAGCATCCTCCCTGGCTTGGTGCGTAATGGCGTAGTGAGCCGTAAAGGTGTGGATTGAGGACCAGGTGGCCGCTCTACAAATTTCCTGTGTTGGGATGTGGGCCAGGAACGCAGCTGAAGAGGCCTGCACTCTTGTGGAGTGGGCCGTGATAGGCAGGGCTGGTACACTGGCCCGACTGTAGCACTCCTGGATGCAGGTTCTGATCCAAGCCGAGATCCTCTGTGACGTGACTGGGAGCCCCTTCCTACTGTCGGCCACAGCGACGAAAAGTTGGGTCGACTTCCTGAAGGGTCTCGTCCTTTCTATATAGAACGCGAGAGCCCTGCGAACATCCAGAGAATGCAGCCTGCGCTCCTTAGCCGAGGAGTGCGGTTTGGGATAAAATACAGGGAGAAAAATCTCTTGACCCATGTGAAACGGGGAAACCACCTTAGGTAGGAACGCAGGGTGCGGCCTGAGTTGGACCTTGTCCTTGTGGAAGACGGTGTATGGAGGCTCGGATGTCAGAGCTCTGAGTTCCGATACTCTCCATGCTGATGTGATAGCCACCAAGAACGCGACCTTATATGAGAGGTATAACAGCGAGCATGAAGCCAGCGGCTCGAATGGGGGCCCCGTGAGGACAGACAGGACCAAATTGAGGTCCCAAGCAGGGACAGGTTGACGGATATGCGGGAACAATCTGTCAAGACCCTTAAGGAATCGTCCAACAAGTGGGTTTGCAAACACTGGAGGTCCCCCCCTCTCCAGGGTGGAATGCAGAGATTGCAGCAAGGTGTACTCGAATCGATGAGAGAGTTAGGCCCAGGTGTCTCAGATGTAGCAAATAGTCCAAGATGAGAGGGATCAGGGCGAGCAAGGGGGCCTGACCGCGTTGTGTAGCCCAGAGGGAGAAGCGCTTCCACTTGGCCAAGTACGTAGACCTTGTCGAGGGCTTCCTGCTGCCCAACAGGACCCGTCTGACCTGATGGGAGCATCGTAACAACAGTGGGTTTAGCCATGGAGCATCCAAGCTGTAAGGTGGAGCGACTCCAGGTTCGGGTGAAGGAGGCGACCGCGATCCTGCGTGATCAAGTCCGGTAGAAGGGGCAACCTGAGTGGAACCCTCGTAGACATGTGTAGGAGAGACGCGTACCAATGCTGGCGCGGCCACGCAGGAGCTATGAGGATGAGTCGAGCGTGATCTCTGCGGGCCTTGAGGATCACCTTGTGAATCAAGGGAATCGGGGGGAAGACGTAAAGAAGCCCGTCTGCCCAAGAGAGGAAAAAAGCGTCTGATAGGGATCCCTGACTGCGTTCCATGAGGGAGCAGAATTGATGACACTTCCTGTTCTCGTTGGATGCAAACAAGTCCACCTGGGGATGACCCCAGAGTCGGAAAATTGAGAGAACTACATCCCAGCGGATAGACCACTTGTGACCCTGGAACGAGCGGCTGAGAGTGTCCGCGAGCGCGTTGTGCGTGCCGGGGAGGTAGGATGCTATCAGGTGAATTACGTTCTGTACGCAAAAGTCCCATAATGCCTGGGCCTCCTGGCAAAGGGGAGAGGAGCGAGCACCACCCTGTTTGTTGATATAAAACATCGTTGGATGGATTCTGTGAGGACAGAAACGCACCTGCCTGCCAGCTGGGACTTGAATGCCATGAATGTGAGGCGTACCGCTCGTAATTCCCTGACACTGATGTGCAGTGAAAGATCCTCCCTCGACCAAAGCCCTTGGGTCCGGAGGTGGCCCAGATGTGCACCCCATCCCTGATCCGACGCGTCCGTTACCAGGGTCAGGGAGGGCTCTGGTTCGAGGAAAGGGACCCCCGCGCAGACCACCCGCGGCGCGAGCCACCACTAGAGGGAGTCCAACACCGGACGAGGTAACGTCACCACTGAGTCTAGGGAGTCCCTGACTGGCCGATAAACCCCTGCCAACCAAGACTGGAGAGGGCACAGTCTCAGCCTGGCGTGTCTCACGACATAGGTACATGCTGCCATGTGCCCTAGTAATTTGAGGCAGCTTCTTACTGTGGTGGTAGGGTAACTTTGGAGGCCGAGAATGATGTTGGATAAAGTTCGGAATCTGGCCTCTGGGAGATATGCTCTGGCTTGTGTCGAGTCCAGAAGTGCTCCTATGAATTCGATTCTTTGTGTTGGAGAAAGAGTGGACTTGGCCTTGTTGAGTAAGAGGCCGAGTCAGCTGAAGGTGTGCCTGATGAAGACCACCTGAGCCTCCATGAGTGCCTTGGTCCTGCCCTTGATGAGCCAATCGTCCAGGTAAGGAAATACCTGGATCCCTTGCCTGCGCAGGAAGGCTGCCACGACTGCCATGCACTTTGTGAAGACCCTTGGGGCTGCTGATAGACCGAAGGGTAGAACCGTTAACTGTAGATGAACGTTGCCGACGAGAAACCTGAGGTAACGCCTGTGGCGAGGGATTATCGCGATATGGAAGTATGCATCCTTTAAGTCGAGGGCGGCATACCAGTCTCCTGGATCCAGGGAAGGAATGATGGAGGACAGGGAGACCATGCGGAACTTGAGCTTCTTGACAAACTTGTTGAGACGCCGCAAGTCCAGAATAGGTCTGAGGCCCCCTTTCACTTTCGGTATTAGGAAATATCGAGAATAGAAGCCCTTGCCCCGTAGTTCCCGAGGCACCTCCTCCACTGCCCCTGCTGTAAGGAGGGACTGAACTTGAAGAAGTTGCTCGTGAGAGGGGTCCCTGAAGAGGGACGGGGAGGGGGGCTGGTGGGGCGGGAGGGAGGAAAACTGGATAGAATATCCCTCCTCTACCGTGCGAAGCACCCAAGTGTCTGACGTGATCTGGGCCCACGCACGATAGAAGGGGGACAGACGTGATGAAAAGGTAAGGTTGGGAGGATCCAGAGATCTGACCGGTAGGCCGTCCTCGACCGAGCCCTCAAAATGGTGGTCTAGGCCCCTGTGGAGGCCTTGGTTGGGTAGAAGACCGGCCGAAGGGCTGCTGTTGTTGCCTCCTTCTGCCAGTCCTTGGCCTTCTGCGCAAGGCATCACCTCGATTTTGAGGTTGGTACGGATGCGGGGCCTGCGGCAGCCTAAACTGCCTACGCTGAGTAACAGGGGTGTGTAGGCCTAAAGAACGGAGGGTGGTCCGCGAGTCCTTTAGGCTATGGAGCTGTTTATCTGTCTTTTCTGAGAAAAGTGTGGGCCCTTCAAAGGGTAAGTCCTGGATAGTCTGTTGGACTTCGTGAGGTAGACCGGAAACTTGAAACCAGGCTCCGCGCCTCATGACCAGACCAGTAGCCAACGTGCACGAGGCTGAATCGGCTGCGTCCAAGGCTGCCTGGAGGGAAGCTCGAGTAATCAATCTGCCCTCCTCAACAAGGGCAGAGAACTCGGTTCGTGAGTCCTGCGGGAGGAGGTCCATAAACCTAGACAAAGCCGAGCACATGTGTCCATATCAGCTCACTATGGCCTGCTGATTGGCAATATGCAACTGTAGGCCCCCCATTGAATAGACCTTGCGTCCGAAGAGGTCCAACTTTTTCGCCTCTCTATTTTTAGGTGTGGATCCCTGAAAACCCTGTTGCTCCCTCTGGTTGGCCGCATCCACCACTAGGGAGTCCGGCGGGGGGGTGCATGTAAAGATATTCATAGCCCTTGGTTGGGACAAAATACTGCCTCTCTGTCTTTTTGGCTGTAGGAGCCAATGAGGCTGGGGTTTGCCACAAGGTGCGGGTTGTGTCCGCAATGGTCTTTATGAGGGGTAGGGCTACTCTAGATGGGCCTGACGGGGTCAGGATATCAATTACGGGACCACTGTTCACCTCAATCTGTTCTGTCTGTATCGAGAGGCTCTGGGCCGCTCGAGTAAGGAGCTGTTGGAGGAGTCTATTATCCTCTAGAGCCGGAGCAGCAGAAGTTCCCGCTACTGCCTCATCCGGAGATGAAGAGGAAGATGATGTTCCATGTAGCTGCCCTTCATCTACCACGTCTCCCTCTGTAAGGGCCTGCGGCACACGGTACTCAGGCCGCGCGGCTGGTGCGGGCTCAAGATGCGGCACCGCGGCCGGTACCGGGGTCGCCATCGAACGCCGAGGAGTGCTGGGCGGTGCCTGCGCTGAAGGAAGCAAAGTCCCTGTCAGTGCCGTTGTTTGACCTGGGGGTGCAGTAATGTCTTGTGGCACACTCCTGTCAGACGGCGGTGCTGGTGGCATTAGCGGCGATGCTGCAGACGCTTAGGAGACGGAAGCGGTTCGTGAGCGGGGCCCGTACGCCTGACCCACTGACTGATGGTAGGCCCATGGCGTCCAGAACGGCCACTGTGGAGGTGGTTGCCACTCCTGCTGTTGATGCCACTGTGGCGGGTACGGTTGGGCACTCCTACGCGAGGACGATCGTCTGCTCCTCGATCTGTTAGAATTGTAGGAGTCCGCCTCTGCGTCAGAAGTCTCTGAATATGAGGACATCGGAGGAGCGGTACCCAGTGTCGCCGGCGGGGGTGCTCGCGCCGGTGCCGCTAACGTGGCGCCGCGTGGAGAGTGCGGTGAGCGCATTGCCGGTTTACCCTTAGAGTGATACTGGGGCCCGGCGGCAGCCGGAGGTTCTCTGCACCGGTGCGGCGATGCCGGCACCGGAAGGCTCAAGAGGTCTGATGCGGCCTCAAACGCCTCCGGCGTCGATGGGAGGCGGACTTCCTCCATCATGTCCAGGGATCTGTGCCGTTCCGGACTTGACCTTGCCCTCTCTGGGGCAGGAGTCAATGGGATGGCCGGATGGGTCTGTGGCACGGGTTGTCCCGTAACACTCGTGGACTGCGCCCGACCTTTAGAGTCCCGGTGGGGAGATTGTTCCGTCAGTGGCCTGTTCTTTTTAGCCGGCACTGGCGATGGAGAGCAGCGTCTTGTAGAAGATGATTTCTTATGCGCCGACTCTCTCCGGTGCCGGGGTTTCGGGGCCTTGGCCTCACGACTTCTCCGGTGCCGGGGCACTGCACACCGAGGATGAAGTGCTGGGTGCCGGCTCTGAAGGTCCGGGATCCGAGTGCGGCCGCAGTGCCGCCTCCATTAGGAGGACTTTAAGTCTCTGCTCTCTATCCTTGAGAGTCCTTGGGCGAAAAGCCCTGCAGATAGTGTACCTGTCCCTTTGATGGGCCTCTCCGAGGCACCGTAAGCACGAAGAGTGCGGGTCACTTTTCGGCATAAACTTCCCGCAGTCCCGACAGAGTTTGAACCCTGGGGACCCGGGCATGCCCCAGCGGGGCGGCGAAAAGTTGGGGAAAACCCCCCAACTGATACCTAACTATCTAACACTAACAACTAACTAAAACTATTTACAAGAACTATAGAACGCTGCCACGATTGCTAAAGAGCAAGAGAAGTTCCAGCTAGCCGTCACCGGCGGTAAGAAGGAACTGAGGGGATGAGGGGTCGGCTGGCCTCTATATACAGCGCCATGAAGGCGCCACTCCAGGGGGCGCCGGAGCCGACCCTACGGACGCTGCTATGGTAAAATCTTCCGGCTGGCGTGCACGCGGCGCGCACACACCTGCTTGGAATGGACATGAACAATCACTCGAAGAAGAACTCAAAGTTAATGCTTTGCACATTTAAATGCAGTAACTCATGAGCTATTCATTCAGTATACCACCTGACTTTGAAATATTGGAAAGTATTTTCAACAGTGCTGCTTAGATATAGTATTATCTTGGTTTCTATTCCTTCTTGGCATTCACATCTTTTCCTATACTTGGCTTTTAAAGACCACCACATCGCCTTTTACACTGGATGCCAGTGACTAAACAAAGGTATCAGACAGTGTTATAGAAGTCAGCTGTCATGGTAGGAAAAGGCATTTCAACAATTAAAAAAAAAGCACATTTGAAATAGAACAAGGATACTTCCACTTGCAAACTTCAAAACCTTGATATGTGTCTGTTCTAATATTTACCTAGTGAATGAAAAAGTTTAAAATATAACAATGATGCTCCTATTTCAACTGCAGAGTGCACTTCCATTTTTCACACTTGTTGTCCATACCTTTTTGCCCCCAAATCTTTTAGTATGAAAAGGAACATAGCAAAACATACAAAAAGAATCTGATATCTTGAGCTTTATTGTACCCATGGCTTTGTCCATGTCCTAAGAGGTCCTCAACAGCAGTTAAAACTTTTACAACAGCAGAACATTCGGATGATTACCAGTTCAGAGTCTTTTCTGTTGGCTCTCCGGTTTTTTGCATCATTAATTGAAATATCATCTACTCCTGTGAGGATTTTTGAAACAGCAATTTTGCGATTTCCCTTTAACTTTGCACGGAAAATATCTCCTTCTGTCCAAAGTTCTGTCTGTTTCCTATTATGGAATGGAAAAGATAACGATGTTATAACTTTCCAGAAATTAGCAGCGTTGCTTGCTTTGTTTCTAAAGGAATTAATTTCTAATTTTTCTATTAAAATACAGTTTTTAATTAGTTTTCCAAATTATTAATTCTAACATAGTAACAGTCTACTTACTCTACAAGGAAGTGCTGCTGTGGTCCAATTACTGAGCCGGGTCTATTTATTCTAATCCAAGCAATGGTTTCAGCAGCTGTCATCCTATAATGCTTCATAATATAACAGGCTATAAGTGTGCCAGTTCGGCCAAGACCAGCTGTGTAAGATACAAGAGAGGCTTCTTTTTATATACATATTTTTACATAGAGTTTAGTTTTAACTAAACTTTTAAGAACTAAAACTAAATCACTTGTGTTGCTGCTTCTATGATTGACAAATATTTAATTGCCCATCTTACTAAATCTATCGCTAGCCAAACTTACATGGGGAGTAGTGTTTTCAAAAATTATGTCCAATATTTGTAATGTAACTTATTGTTTGAATAAAAGTATTACACATTTTAGGTTTAGAAAGTGACTTTTCAGTATATCACAAATATGCTTTTGAAATCAAGCCTTTCAAAGTCAGCTGCTTTTTATGTACAGGAACAAATTATAAAGACAGTTGTCTATAGCACTATGCATCATAAAATACTTTAATATACCAATAAAACCTGCATATGAACATAATATTAAATACTCAACTAAGAGTATATGAACTCAAAAATTGCCTTAAAGTAGGATAACTACCAACGCATCCCCTTATCAAGATCTCAGGGGGAAAAAAAAGAGACAGGCTTTGCAGTATGCCCTAAAGATAAACAAATCCAAGTCTCTGGGAAACAGAGGCAGGGAGAACCTTTCACAGAAAATGCCCTGTCAATAGTCCTCTCCCAATTTAACTTGCCAGGCAGGAGGAGAGAGAAGAAGGGTGTGAAGGAAGAGAAACTGGCTCCAGCGTAAGTGCCTGGACTGATCACAACTGCTGCCTGGGATGAGAGGCTGTTTGGCGATCAAGTCCCAAAACTATTTAGGAATTTACTGAACACCACCAATATCTTCAACTCTACCTAAAAGCTAATAGACAGACAAGGCAAATCATGCAGCACTGATATAAACAGGCTTGACAGAATTAGATTTCTATTTTTTGTAATTTTGATGGCTGAAAACAATACTTAATCATTTTTTTTCAATTTTTATCAATTTAAATGTTTACAGTTGGGCAAAGTAATAGGGGAGGGGGTTAGACAATTATTTAATGACAGTATATATTGAGATTTAAAAAGTTAAAGCTTTATAACTGTCAAAACATCAATTGTCAATATCATATGTCAAAATATAATCAAAATCCTTAAATCAAATTCTAAAGTTCTCAAGCAGCATTTTTCTTACTTTGCCCATCTGTAAATTTCTATCATCATTGATGGAAATATTTTTTTGATAGTTTGAGTGAGTATAGCAAAATCAATGTTAATCAACATTTACCAATAAAAATGTAAGTCTTCCAAGCCTAGATATGTGTGCTTTGAATGTGCTCCTAATGTAGGGTTGGATGTAAGCCTTCTTCAATAATGAACACTGTGTGACATACACAAAATTATCACCTCCAGTCAACAGAAGGTCTCCTCCTGGCTCCCAGACCAGCACACCTTTCCTTGGACAAAGAAGGCAGGAGGGATTTCTGCTGTGCTTGTGTGTCATCTGGGCATCTATGGCCTGGTCTACGCTACGAGTTTAGGTTGACTTTAGCAGAGTTAAATCAAATTAAGCCTGGACACGTCCACACGACGAAGCCCTTTCTTTTGACTTAAAGGGCCCTATAAACCGGTTTCTTTACTCCACCTCCGACGGGGGGATGAGCACTAAAATCGGCCTTTGCGGGTCAGATTTGGGGTAGTGTGGACAGAATTCGACGTTATTGGCCTCCGGGAGCTATCCCACAGTGCTTCATTGTGACCGCCCTGGACAGCACTCTCAACTCAGATGCACTGACCAGGTAGACAGGAAAAGCCCCGTGAACTTTTGAATTTTATTTCCTGTTTGCCCAGCGTGGAGAGCACAGGGGACCACGCAGAGCTCATCAGCACAGGTAACCATGATGGAGTCCCAAGATCGCAAAAGAGCTCCAGCATGGACAGAACGGGAGGTACGGGATCTGCTCGCCATATGGGGAGACGAATCAGTGCTAGCTGAACTCCGTAGCAGTAAACGAAATGGCAAAATATTAGAAGAAGTCTCAAAGGCCATGAAGGACAGAGGCCATAACAGGGACGCACAGCAGTGCCGCGTGAAAATTAAGGAGCTAAGGCAAGCCTACCACAAAGCCAGAGAGGCAAACGGAAGGTCCGGGGCAGAGCCGCAAACATGCCACTTCTACACGGAGCTGCATGCCATTCTAGGGGGTGCAGCCACCACTACCCCAACCGTGTGCTTTGACTCCGTCAATGGAGAAACACGCAACAGGGAAGCGGGTTCGGGATACGCGGAAGATGATGATGATGATGATGAAGATGAAGACAATGAAGATAGCTCACAGCAAGGAAGCGGAGAAACCGGTTTCCCCAACAGCCAGGATATGTTTATCACCCTGAACCTGGAACCCGTAACCCCCGAACTCACCCAAGGCGTGCTCCCAGACCCTGAGGGCACACAAGGGACCTCTGTTGAGTGTACCTTTGTAAATATTACACATGGTTTAAAAGCAAGCGTGTTTAATGATTAATGATTAATTTGCCCTGGCAATCGCGGCCAGTACAGCTACTGGAAAAGTCTGTTAACGTGTATGGGGATGGAGCGGAAATCCTCCAGGGACATCTCCAGAAAGCTCTCCTTCATGTACTCCCAAAGCCTTTACAAAAGGTTTCTGGGGAGGGTTGCCTTATCCCGTCCGCCATGGTAGAACACTTTACCACGCCAGGCCAGTAGCACGTAGTCTGGAATCATTGCATAACAAAGCATGGCAGCGTATGGTCCTGGTGTTTGCTGGCATGCAGACAATATCCATTCCTTATCGCTCTTTATTATCCTCAGGAGAGTGATATCATTCACGGTCACCTGGTTGAAATGGGGCGATTTTATTAAGGGGACATTCAGAGGTGCCCATTCCTGCTCTGCTGAACAGAAATGTTCCCCGCTGTTAGCCACGCGGTGGGGGGAGGGGTGAAGTGATCATCCCAGAGAATTTGGGGGGGGGTGTGGGGAGAGGGGGTAGTTGGGTTTGTGCTGCATGTTAACCCGGAAACCCCAGCCCCTCCTTTTACATTGCAAACCCATTTTAAATGGCCAACCCAATGGGTCCTTGGTATGGGAAATGAGGGCGCTACTGTTTGAAACCATTCCCACATGTTAAGAAGGTATAAAAAAGCCAAAAGACTGTGGCTTACAATGGCTGCCTGCAAGCCGAATTCTGTTGCCTGGCACTGCGTGAGTGATCTCTCACACCAAACCGGCAGGCCCTCAATATAAGAGGAAAAATGCGACCTTGTAACGAAAGCACATGTGCTGTGTAATGTGAACAGCAAAACTTAACGTGAAAGAGTGTACCCATTGTTCTCTAAAATGTGTCTTTTTTAACCACCTCTCCCTTCTCCTCCACCAGCTGCAAATGTTTCTCCTTCGCAGAGGCCAGCGAAGATCAGAAGGAGAAAACGGCGGACTCGGGATGATATGTTCACGGAGCTCCAGATGTCCTCCCACGCTGAAAGAGCACAGCAGAATGCGTGGAGGCAGTCAGAGTGCAAAAAAGCACAATATGAACGAGAGGAGAGGTGGCGGGATGAATCGCGGGCTGAACAGAGCAAGTGGCGGGCTGAAGATGATAGGTGGCGTCAGCTTGCAGACAGAAGGCAAGAGTCGATACTCCGGCTGCTGGAGCATCAAACTGATATGCTCCAGCGTATGATTGAGCTGCAGGAAAGGCAGCAGGAGCAGAGACCGCCGCTACAGCCCCTGTGTAACCAACAGCCCTCCTCCCCAAGTCCCAATGCCTCCTCACCCAGACGCCCAAGAACACGGTGGGGGGGCCTCCGGCCACCCAGTCACTCCACCCCAGATGATTGCCTGAGCATCGGAAGGCTGGCCTTCAATAAGTGTTAAAGTTTTAAAGTTTTAAACTGCACTGTGTCCTTTTCCTTCCCTCCTTCCCCACCCATCCTGGGCAATTATCCCCCTAGTTGTGTGGTGAATTAATAAAGAATGCATGAATGTGAAGTAACAATGACTTTATTGCCTCTGCAAGCGGTGCTCGAAGGGGGGAGGGGAGGGTGGTTAGTTTACAGGGAAGTAGAGTGAACCGGGGGGCGTTCATCAAGGAGAAACAAACAGAAGTTTCACACCGTAGCCTGGCCAGTCACAAAACTGGTTTTCAAAGCTTCTCTGATGCGCACCATGCCCTGCTGTACTCTTCTAACCGCCCGTCTGGCTGCGCGTAATCAGTGGCCAGGCGATTTGCCTCAACCTCCCACCCCGCCATAAATGTCTCCCCCTTACTCTCACAGATATTGTGGAGCGCACAGCAAGCAGCAATAACAATGGGGATATTGGTTTCGCTGAGGTCTATCCGAGTCAGTAAGCTGTGCCAGCGCGCTTTTAAACGTCCAAATGCACATTCCACCACCATTCGGCACTTGCTCAGCCTATAGTTGAACAGATCCTGACTACTGTCCAGGCTGCCTGTGTACGGCTTCATGAGACATGGCATTAAGGGGTAGGCTGAGTCCCCAAGGATAACAATAGGCATTTCAACATCCCCAATGGTTATTTTCTGGTCCGGGAAGAAAGTCCCTTCCTCCAGCTTTCGAAACAGACCAGAGTGCCTGAAGACACGAGCATCATGTACCTTTCCCGGCCATCCCATGTTGATGTTGGTGAAACATCCCTTGTGATCCACCAGGGCTTGCTGCAGCATTGAAAAGTACCCCTTGCCGTTTATGTACTCGGTGGCTTGGTGCTCCGGTGACAAGATAGGGATATGGGTTCCGTCTATCGCCCCACCACAGTTTGGGAATCCCATTGCAGCAAAGCCATCCACTATGACCTGCACATTTCCCAGAGTCACTACCCTTGATATCAGCAGGTCTTTGATTGCGTTGGCAACTTGGATCACAGCAGCCCCCACAGTAGATTTGCCCACTGCAAATTGATTCCCGACTGACCGGTAGCTGTCTGGCGTTGCAAGCTTCCACAGGGCTATCGCCACTCGCTTCTCAACTGTGAGGGCTGCTCTCATCCTGGTATTCTGGTGCTTCAGGGCAGGGGAAAGCAAGTCACAAAGTTCCATGAAAGTACCCTTACGCATGCGAAAGTTTCGCAGCCACTGGGAATCGTCCCACACCTGCAACACGATGCGGTCCCACCAGTCTGTGCTTGTTTCCCGGGCCCAGAATCGGCGTTCCACGCCATGAACCTGCCCCAGTAACACCATGATTTGCACATTGCTGGGGCCCATACTTTGTGAGAGGTCTATATCCATGTCAATTTCCTCATCACTCTCGTCGCCGCGCTGCAATCGCCTCCTCGCCTGGTCCTGGTTTTGTTTTGGCAGGTCCTGGCTCTGCATATACTCCAGGACAATGCGCGTGGTGTTCACAGTGTTCATAATTACCGCGGTGATCTGAGCCGGCTCCATGATCCCAGTGCTATGGCATCTGATCTGAAAAAAGGCGTGAAACTGACGGAGGGAGGGAGGGGCGACTGATGACATGGCGTACAGGTACAGGGAATTAAAATCAACAAAGGTGACTGTGCATCAGGGAGAAACACAAACAACTGTCACACAGAATGGCCCCCCCCAAAGATTGAACTCAAAACCCTGGGTTTAGCAGGCCGTTGATTTCACGGAGGGAGGGGGAAGCAAATGAATACAGAACAAATCTGGTCCATCTATTTTTTAGATCTTAAGCTGGCAGCAGACGGTGCAGCATGACTGATAGCCCTCAGCATCTTCTGGGTGCTTGGCAGAAGATACTGTACTACGACTGCTAGCCATCATCGTCAAGATGGTTCAACAGGACTGCCGGCAGGACTGAGTCTCCAGGAGACAAAACATGTCTGCCCAGGTGCCTCTGATTGAACTGGAATACGACGATGACGGATACCAGTCGTAATACACCATCTACTGCCAAAAGGCAATTAGCTGCTGCTGTGTAGCAATGCAGTACCACGTCTGCCGGCACCCAGATGACATATGGTGACGGTGAGCTGAGCTGAGCGGGCTCCATGCTTGCCGTGGCATGTTGTCTGCACAGGTAACCCAGGTAAAAAGGCGCGAATTGATTGTCTGCCGTTGCTCTGACGGAGAGGGAGGAGCCTGACGACATGTACCCAGAACCCCCCGCGACACTGTTTTGCATCATCAGGCACTGGGATCTCAACCCAGAATTCCAATGGGCGGCGGAGACTGCGGGATAGCTACCCACAGTGCAACGCTCCGGAAGTCGACGCTAGCCTCGGTACTGTGGACGCGGTCCGCCGACTTCATGCACTTAGAGCATTTTATGTGGGGACACACACAATCGACTGTATAAAACCGGTATCTATAAAACCGGCTTCTATAAATTCGACCTAATTTCGTAGTGTAGACATACCCTATGTCTACCTTGTAGAAGGCTGAATAGGGTCTGGGGACATGCTCAGTGCAGTTGTTATGTAGGAGCTCCGTAGAGCAGAGAATGTTCAGTGCAAATGGAATGTTCAGGTATTTTGTCAGCAAACCTCTAAAAAGCTTTATTAAATCTGTGCAAAATGATTATTTTAGAAGTCTTATCATTTAGCCAGTTTTGGCTAGCTACTAAAGAAAATAAAAGCAGCTATCTCCATGGCACTTAGGACTAACACTCTGCCAAATTTATAGTTTCTGCTGAAAAGCATGGAGATGCTAAAGCTCTTCAAAGAGATGGTTGGAAAAAGAAGTGTTAACATTGAGACCAGGGAAAAATAGGCTTGCAAATCTCATAAGCAGCTGAAAAGATTTGCCAAAACAAACCAACAAAATCAGCTGAAGCAGAGAACATTAGCCAAAATGGTTACAGTTTGGCTAACTTATAATCAATTGGAAATAAGGGCTTATGATGCAAAGTGTCAGGTAAGCTTAACTATAGGCTTTGCTATCAACTCTCAACTCCACCTTGTAATATGAACTGTGCACATAACATACCTTTGCAATGAACTGCTATAACACCTTCAGCATTTTCACAAATATTTAGGAATGTTTTGACTATAGTATCACTAGGTATGCTTCCATCAGCAAAGAAGAGGTCATAATGCTCAAAACCAGCATCTGCAAATCGTTTGGCATCATACATTTTTCTGTTAAGACGTATTATAGTAGTAACCTTGTGTCTTCTGAAATATGGGAAATAGGCCTCAGGAGCATGGTGGGGATAACCTGTAGGCAGAAACAAAGGAACTAGTCATGAAAATTGCACATCCAAATGAAAAAACAAACAACATGTAAAATACCTTATTTTAAAGTTATGTCCAATAGAAAAATTCCATTTTCAGTCAGTGAATTTTTAAACAGTCAAATTCAAATAGAGCTAAAGGAAGTCTTGAGCTTTTTTATCGCCAAGTGTTCCTCCTCCCCACCCCACCGCCCAAAAAGCTAAGAAAAACATACCATTGGAGGAACAATTTTTTTTTAAAATGATAAAGTTGCTGTTACTCATAACAATCAATCAAATACATAGTAGTAGCATATGGGTTTGTGTCCCCAAAGCATACCATTTTCAGTTTTACTTCTTGAATGAGGTCCACTGAAGGCAATGAATTTGTTTGGTATTATCCAGTTAAAATCCCCATTTTCTGCTTTCTGTCAAGAGAAAATGCATGATTTACCATTATCCCTATATTTCAGGAGTGGGCAAACTACGGCCCACAGGCCACATCCAGCCCGCCAGCCAATTTAATCCTCGAGTTCACGCTGGGAAGTGGGCTCTGGGGCTTCCCTGCTCCTGCCAGGGAGCGAGATCGGTGGCCACTCCACGCATGCCTGCTGTGGCTCCCGGAAGCAGCAACATGTCCCCTCTCCAGCTTCTATGTTTAGGGGCAGCCAGGGGCCTCCACGCGCTGCCCCCACAGATCCCATTGGCCAGGAACTGCGGTCAATGGGAGCTGCAGGGGCGGCACCTGTGAACAGGGAAGCACGCAGAGCCGCCTGGCCGTGCCCCCGTGTAGGACCCAGAAGGGGGACATGCCGCTGCTTCCGGGAGCTGCTTGAGTTAAGTGCAACCCGGAGCCTGCACCCCTCAAGCCCCACCACGCCCCAATCCCCTGCTCCAGCCCTGATCGCTCTCCCACCCTCTGAACCCCTAGATCCCAGTCCAGAGCACCCTCCTGCACCCCAAACCCCTCATCCCCAGCCCCACCCCAGAGCCTGCACCCCCAGCTGGAGCCCTCACCCCCCAACACCCTGCTCCAGCCCAGAGCACCCTCCTGCTCCCTGAACCCCTCATTTCTGACCCCACCCCAGAGCCTACACCCCCAGCCAGAGCCCTCACGCCCTCCTGCACCCCAACCCCAATTTCGTGAGCATTCATGGCCCGCCATACATTTTCCATACCCAGATGTGGCCCTTGGGCCAAAATGTTTGCCCACCCCTGCTATATTTGCTTCAAAAATACAAAGCCAAATACAAGCCCTGTCGGTGTAAGCACCTTTCTAGTCTGCCCTTTGCTTCATCAATAAAATGCCAAATGCTCTCAACCTCTCCAGGGTTTTTCTTTCTAAAACAAACTTCAAGTGATGCAATTAAGTCCCCCCCAAATAGAGCCACACTCGGATTTTTTTTTTTAAAGCTTTTGTAAATTGTCCCATTTCACCTTTATCTACTATATTAGTAATTACTTCATGCAACTCCAACAAGTCCTGAGTTTTCTGTATAGATGCCTTGCTGCTTTGCCTTTAAGAGAGTATATTTATCCAAGTCTTGTAGTACTTTAGCTGTACAGTTACACACAAGGAATTTCCCATAAACTGAGGTGAATTTCATGGGTTTGGAATTCCCAAGACCAATTATTACTTTTTTTAAAGGGATAATGGTGCTGCACTTCTGTCATCTCTCTATTACTTCCCATGTAAGTTTCTTTTAAATGAATGCCAACTGGTCTAGTGATTAGCTATACTTGAATTTGTTCAAGTTGCTCATTAACTTCTCCAAGAGCAGATCCTGCCTATGAGAAGTGACGTTGGAACTGAAGTTTATCATCATCATCCTACAATGGATAAAAATCAGATGTGGAAAAAAAAAGTATCTTTAACTAACTACCTCTTTCCAGATACCTTAACTCCACTTTACTTCCTATGCTCTTTCATCTCTTGAGCCTACAGTCACAAATGCAGCCTTCTAACTCCCCTGTGTTTAAACTTAAATTACCTATCTTGCTCTCTTAGATCCTTAAATAAAGATGTATGGTAATAGCTCTTTTAAAAGCAGAAATGGAACTGACAGCAACAAAAGCAACAGTGCATATCACAAAAAAACTGTCTTAGCATTTATAGTAACACTACCACCATCTAGTGCTTATAATCCATCAGTAGATCTCAACACACTTTAGCATCTCAAAAGAACATCAATATCATTATTCCTATTTTAAAAATGGGGTAACTGAGGCACAGAGGGGAAATAACTTGCCTCAGGTAACCCAGCAGGACAGGAATAGACCCCAGGTTTTCTAAGTCACGATTCAGTGTTTATCCCCAGGCCACACACTTACCTCATAATGCTCATATTCATTTACATCAAAAGCACTGAAATCCAGGAAGCCATATCGCAAAGCCTAAAATCCACAATACAACTTTTAACAAAAAGAACCTTCATCAAAAGACAAAATGCATCACCATTTTAAATTTCTGTATACCCCTTATACTGGACTCTCAAAGTTCCTTTCAGTCCTATGATTCTGTGATCTCTTTTTCACCACTGTGCCAGAGTAACATTTCCTCATTATACTAACTCCATTAATTGGACTGAACTCAATTGAATTCATAAACATTTTAACACTTGTGAAAATGCTGGAGTTGTGGAAAATATTTAGCATTCAGTCTTGGTCCAAAACAAATCCCTCCATTCCTGTATCCATGTTATATATACACATCAATACAATTAAGGATAAATAAGCAAGCCCACTCTTTTCTGATTTCACTTAAAAATAAAACCAGAACCAGGCCACAGAATCATTCATGGCAACAAGTCTCAGAACCCCAGTCAACTAATTCAGGCTCACCAGGCTTGTTCTATGGACTAAAAATAGCAATGCAGACATTCCCGCTGGGGCTGCATCTTGGGCCCTAAATAAAATCCCTCTGACAGGTTTCAGAACCCGAGCGGGAATACCTATACTGCTATTTTTAGCCCTATACCACGAGCCCGAGTCAGCTGACCAGGGTTCTGAGGATCGCTGCCACAACTTCTTCTCCCTGCCCCCACAGTGTAGATATATTCAGAGTTGCAATAAACCCTTGGATGACTAAATTAGTGGTGCAGAAGGAATGAAGGGGCCTGGCAACCAGTTACCTGATTCAAGTATTTTGTCTTTCAAGCTCAGAAACAAATGTTGAAATAATAAGGCCACGGAGTAATGCAGGCTCCTTCCTACAGTCATCATTAAGTTACACACAACCCCTTTATAATATATACTATGCTGACTGTTTGGAAGACCAGTCATGGAGGGCTGTTTGGTCCAACAACTTACCAATTTCCACATTAGTATCAGGATGTTAGAGGTAAAATGACTGGCCTGAACAGCTTTGCCCATCTGACTCCATGGCTCCTGCTAAGATTTTCCCTAGGTAACTCCCATCCAGGGAAGAACTTGCTCTATATTAGGGTGCCAGACCCCACCTAGACATGCTCATTGGATTCCCCAGATATCAGTCACAGGAGCTCAATTACTATACAAGATGTATAGACTAGGCAGAGTCAGACACATTGCTGTGACGAAGGTCTAATAATTAGGCCCTTAGTTTCATGAGCAAATTTTGGCTGTATTATAATTAGCTGACAAACATATAAACAAAAAAAAATTATTTTTTTTACCTTATTTATTGCATGAAAGCTGTCAAGCAATGTTAGATGAAAACTGCAAGTACCAAATGAAGCATCCCTGTAACACAAACATGTGAAATCAATTTTGACAGCCGACAGCATTTCTAGTTTCATAAGCAAAACCGCATGAGTTCCCTCATGCAGATCCAAGACTAAATGAATGAAAATGTTATTTTCTCAAGAGCCAGCAGTAAAAAGATTTGATTATTAGTTACTTTAAAATACTCTACTGTTTTCCAATCTTGAAGTTTATTGATTTAAGTTTTAACTTATTTTTTATTGCTTTACTGGTATCTTATGTTAAAACACTTAGACGATCCAACATTAAGTTTATTTTAGCCACCTTTTTTTCAACAGAACTGCCACTTTCAGTTTTTGTTGGGAATAAAAGACTTTGGCAAAGTTTAGTGAATTTGGACAACCCACTTCCTGAAAGATATTTATCTTGTTTGAAAATAAAATTTTTTTAGAAAACAGTTTGTATACTGTGATTCCTTGTGTACTGTAAGATTTTCGGAATCTGACAAAAACACTGCACATGTGGATGGATAAGACTCAAATTACTTCTAACACCAACATTCCCTGTTTAAGTAATTACATATATGGCAGTTTAACTTTTCTAACCAAAAGATTAAAGAAATAGCTATAGTAATATTTAAAAGAGAATTTTCCTATACTTAGAGCTTTAAAATATTTAGCTGGACTATGCTTAAAAATAACAGTCTGGTTTTCATTATAGCTCTTTTTCCTGCCATTCTTCTTAAATCATCTTAAGGTAGGAATAGAATGTTCTTGGTACTATGTCAGTTATTGAGAAAGAAATGACTCAATGAAACTGATGAAACCACGAACTTAGAACTGATCTAAGGTAGGAAAACCCTATTCCCTATTGTATTAAAAAAAAAAAAGTCTCTGAATTTCAGGATTATATATTTTAGTGGAATAACTGTTGGGTTTAAAACATTTAGAAAGCCAGCAATTATACTGTCAATGGCAATTTATAGTGGCACACAACACTTCCTCCCCTCTCTCCTCCATTTCTGTCAGAGCATGGAAAGAAGCACTTTAAATTGTCCACTTCATGCTGCACTATGGGATTACATATTTGGAGTGTCACTGATTTAAAGTCTCTCTTCACCGTAGCACTCTCTATGGTCATGTCTATCCCTCATTGTTGCTACAGATTTATCACCCACTACTCTCACCAGCAACTGTGCTGTTTGAGGCATTAGAGTGAAGTAGTGTCTGGTTTAGGGTTTTTTTTAAATGTGTAACAAGAAACACTTTGTTATAATGTTCTGACTAAAAATGACAAAAAAGTGAGAATTTCAGAGATCTGGCTGCATCTACTCTCTCTGCACTCTCCCCTCCTCTAATGAGTTAGTGTGAAAGGGGGAGGAAGGGGAAAGGGAAGTAATAGAAAGAAAAGGAACTCATTCAGGAAACTGACAATAGGATACAGAGAATTTCTCTAAGACTTTAATATAAATTCCTCTATTATGAAAGACCATAATAAGTAACTTATCTGATTGCAAAAAGCAATTCCTCTCTCACTGGCTAATGAATAGTCAGCATGGACATAATCTAAAAACAACAGGACCCTAAAGCACCATCTCAACTCATAATTCTCTTCAGTGGCTTCCTCCTCCTAGTTGCATCAGGCTTGAAAACCATGGGCAAAATCCTGGTCCCACAGAGCTCAGTGGGAGTTTTGTCTTTACTTTAATGGGGCCTGGATTTCATCCCAAAGGCTGTACATAGCTATGCTGCTGCCAGAACTCACCTCCTCTCATTCCCCCTCATGTCCTCCTCATTCCTTTCTCCCTAAATGATCTCTTTAGTCTCAAACGTTATGCTTCTCATCATACCACCTTTACCCTTGTGGAAGGTCCCCTCTTACATGATAAACAACCTCACACTCCTCCAAATCTCTTTGCAGCTTAGGTTATAAGCTTTTTGGGGCAAGGTCCATTTTTGTCATACACGTGTGTGTACCTAACACCATGGGACCACGGTTAAGGCCTCTAGGTACTACTGCAATATAAACAAACAATAAAAGTCAGTGGTGTGAATTAACTCATTTTTCCATCACTAAACTCTGTTTAGATGTTCTAAATAAGGTATCAGAATAGAGAGATTTAAAAAAAAAAATATTAAAATAAATTCTAAAAACGAACATGATCAACTTCCCTTGAAATATAATACATTACCATTTGTCTACTGCAATCGCTTCTTTTCTATGCGCTCATCCCCAGCACAGTCTGTTTTTCACTGTCATCCAATTTAGATTGGAAGCACCTCAGACCAAGGACCTGTTCTTTCTATAGGGCTTTAAGTCACCATATGTATCTGTAGCACTATGTAACTATAGTAAAACCTATCTTAGGTGACCAGAGGATGAGACCAAAAAAAAAAAAAAAAAAGGATTAGGTGGCCCCTTCTACAAGTTTCTCTGCAATACTAATCACAACTGACATCACCACTCTTCTTGACAACCTCTGACGCAGGGAGGATTCAATAGGTATGAAGGCTGAACGCCTCTCAATCCCAGTGCACATTGACATAGCTTGGAGAACATTGCACTGTTCCACTGCCTGTGTAAGACATATTTTATGGATAAATGTCACTATTCAATGTCACCAAGTCTATCGAACAACTTTCATAAACACTGAATTTACTCTATGCACTCTAAAAAGTTACTCCCAGAAACAGATGCATGATCTGCTGGGAGGGCAAAAACCACAGTAAAAAAAGAGTGGGTAGGAGAGAGAGAAGAGTTTGGTAGAGAGTTATTCCTCAAGAAGAGTCCTATTACTGCCATTTATTGGAACTCTGAAAACAGGCAAAAACAGCTCCCAAAGGCCTACTACTGTTGATAAGGGAAAGGGAGCATGCCAGAAAACCAAGACATTACAAAAAATCTTGATGCTCCCAAGAAAGGGAGAAAGACATGAGACAGTTGCTCTGATAAGAAATGCTCACTTGATTTTAGAGTCAGGAGTGAACAGATCACACTATAAATCTACATGTCTAGATAGTAAACTGGAGTTTTTTGGTTCTCCCTTTAACTTCCTGCATTTTATGAAAGCCTGTTTGATTATTGGATAGTTTTATCTAACTTTTGAAAGCCTTACTGTTTTAGTTCTTAGGAGAACTTTACAAAATTGTTCATGGTCAGGACCTATCAACCTTGTTTATCTACTGGATAAAAACCGAGTGGCAACAAGAAGTCTGTAGTCTGGAATACCTAAAATTATATCCCCTCAGAGGTGAAGCAACCATGAAGCAACCTTTTTATTTATTTATTTTTAGATGTTTCCTCATTGGTAAAAATTTCATTTTACACAAAAAAGTACTACATAATAAAGCATTTATTTTAGGGGAGTGTGTTCAGCAAGTGACAGAAAAGATGTGTCAAAATTATTGCAGTCACCACAAAGTATTTATATAAATAGATATTTTAGTATGAGTTTAAGAGAATTCAGACTGGGTGACTAATGGTATTAATTTAGAATTCGTTAAAATTAACTGTTCCAATCTCTCTTTTTAGTGTGAATTCAAAGGGGGAAAAAGCTAATGAAAGTAAATAGTTATGTAAGCTTCCTCATATACTGTACGTTTGCCAGCACACTTCAGTACTGACCTGCAATATCCCTGTCACTCCACTATCTGACCTTGTTTTCATCAGAGACTGCCAAATATGTTGAGATGTGCAGCAGCCATAGGCAAGCGAACCAAACTCAGTGCCTCTGAACACCGTACAGTGATCATGACACACAGAATTCTAACACTTTTATATTTACCTGAAAGGAAGATAAGATACGTTTCCAGCCAATAAGAGCCTGTACACATCTTCGGGTGATTCTCTTAAGTATATTATCTATTTTTGGAAGACGGAAAGAAAATATTTTTAATGGTAACTTTAAGCTACCTATTAATAACTTTCAATGTTTATTGTAAAATATTAAACTAAATGCCATAAAAAATACCATATGCTTGATAACGTCTTTTTCCTATAAGCACAGCATCAAGAATAAAAGAATATAAGCAAACAATTATGTGATAGACAGAAGCAAAGCATATAACATACTGGCCATTATCAATGTAAGAGTATGAATCATAGCATCCACTGTATAGACATCAGGATTTGTGTTGAGTTTCAAATCCCAGCGAAAGTGCTTTTGTGACACTATTGTACTAAATATACAACATTTTTGCTGTAATTCTCTGTAACATATTCTTCATGGACAATTTTGTACAAACTTTAAAGTGATTAAAATTTAAAAGAAATATAAGAGAACATAAAACCTCTAGGGCACCAGCAAAGCTGCTATACAGTAATAAGGGGGAATGTTGATCCTTCTAACATTGGAGCTGTAGGAGATCACAGTATTCCAAATCTTGCATCGCCTTCACTGCACAACCTGAACAAACACTAGGTTAAGCAGTGTCCATTAATTAAATCCAGATGCCACCAAAAAAAAGAAGAGTATAGCAGCCTAAAATGTAATAGAAAGTAAGAAACCCCAAGAACATAATGAGGGCAAAATATATCTAGTATTAATTACTGAAAACATTTTACTGTTAAAAGAAATCAGGAAAGGATGCCAGCTTCACAAAACCCCAGTTCATTACAGATTATGTCTAAAAAGCTGTCTGCACCAGGAGATCGCTCCCTAGCTGCCAGCCACTGTCAGCAATGGTTTCTCTTGAACCAGTACTATAAATTGTTTTTTCCATCAGTCATCCTTTCTGCAACTGTGCTGAAAACAATTTTGCCCTATTTATACTAGCTATTACACCATTTTCAGCACTGGTTAAAGGGCACCTATTGTTGACAGGAGCTGTCAGCAATGGGTCAGTTTCCAACTGTAAGATGGGGCCAGAGAGTTTACAGTAGCCCTTGTGACGGACATTTGCTATCTCTCATTAGAACCACTATGTTATTAAATATAAAGAAAAAAACTTTATATAAGAACACTGTACTTTACTGAAGTATAAATCTTAAATGTTTAAATTGTTGAGATCATGTTTTAACATTTTAAATTACTTCCTAAGTCTTTGTTTTTTAATTTGACAAACATTAAACTAAGTACTTTAAAATCATTCAAATTAGACAAATTCACATTTCCTTTACTAACAGCCACTTTCCCCAAAATTTCTTGCCAACAGTATTTTTAGTTTGTTTTTAAGACAGAAATAAAGTAAAAAAGTATCTACTTAAAATTTTCCCTCACCGTTTAAGACCTTTTCTAGGCATATTTTCTCTCTCTTTTTTTTTTTTTTTTTTTTAAAGTTGGCATTGCCTTGTAATTACAGTTACACAGCTGTAAAGCCAAATCTGAAGTTTAACAAAATCATGGGTGAGGGGAACCATGTTGGTAATAAAGCTGGAAACAGTTCCAAAAATAACATAACATAAAATGACATAACATAAAACATAAAATAAAGTGTTTACTTTTACTGTTTTTTCTCTGGCAAGGAGAATAAACAGGAAAATATTTAACATTGCTGGTAGCACAATGAAACAAAAATAAAACTATTTTTTAAATTTTAGCTTACTTTTGGTCATTTAAATACTCTGAATCCCTCCAAAAAATTGCTTTCTTTTACTCAGACCAACATCCAGGGACAAAGAGACTAAAATTAAGTACAAAATATTGTTCAAGTACTATTCCTCAGATGTCCATCCAATTAGCATTCCCAGGATGATGTAGTTTAACACCACAATTATCAATTAAATGGTTTGGCTGTATAGGCTGTATTCCAAGAATAGTCAAGCTTGTTTTGATAAAGCGGACGACACGACACATCCAGCATCACTACAATGCAGGTTATTCTCAACCTTTAACATAGCGCCAAAAGCTGCACACAGCACTCCACAATCCATCACCTGTACTACGAAAACAAGATTCCCTTCCCCACAGAACAAGGATAGCAACTAGAGATGCAAGCAAACAGTAAGGGCCTACACTAGTGCCTAGTCTACACTAAAAAAGTAGAAATGCAGCTTATACCATCTATCCTCCTTGCATACATGCAGCTTATACTGGCAAAAGAGTACATTTGCCCAAATGAAATAAACTATACTGTCCAAAGCACTTTTTTGCCAGTATAGAAGTATTATTTAAAAACAAAAACAAACAAACAACAAAAATCACACCCTTAAACAACATTATTATACTGGCAAAAGTTTTAAATGGAGACCTGATCTGAGCAGTAAAATGGTTATAAAACGATTTTAAACACAAACACACAATCTTAACGCTCAGCATACAGACAAGGACAGTTGTTTTTAAAATTATGTCAGTGAATATGACTTTCAGCACAGCAGTCCTTAACTACACTTATGGCTGACATGTCTAATATTTGCACACACGTACACAGTAACAGGATGTCATCTTCCAGGGTAGACAAGACCTAAAGAGTGAATCAGTGTGGAACACAAGTCACTGTAGAAGGAAGATTCACCGAATAGTTGAGTTTTTCAGAACTTGTGCAGACAGGGAATGATCTTGATGAACTTCAGGAGGGAGAATGTTCTAGATCAGTGGTCACCAACCCATAGATTGCGATCGACTGGTTGATCCTGGAGCCTCTACCAGTCGATTGTGATCTCCGGCCACTAAAGGTCCGGCAGCGCAGAAGGGCTAAGGCAGGCTCCCTGCCTGCCCTGGTCCCACACCGCTCCCGGAAGCGGCCAGCACAGTCCCACAGCCCTGGGGGGAGAGGAGGCACAGGGACACAGGTCTCCACACAGGATGCTCCTGCTTGCAAGCACCGCCCCTGCAGCTCCCATTGGCTGGGAACGGGGAACTGTAGGGTCCATGCTTGCAGGCAGGAGCAGCATGCAGAGCCAAGTGCCCCCCACCAGGGGCTGCAGGGGAGTGCTGGACGCTTCTGGGAGCAGTGTTGGGCAGGGGCAGGCAGGGAGCCTGCCTTAGCCCTGCTGTACCGGCGACCAGAAGCCGCCCAAGGTAAGTGTTGCCCAGTGGGAGCCCACAACCCATACCCCCTCCTGCACCCTGAACCTCCTTCCACACCCCAACCACACACCCCAGCTCTGAACCCCCTCCCGGAGCCAGAACTCCATACCCCCTCCTGTACCCCAATACTCTGACCCAGCCTGGAGCCTCCTCTTGCACCCAAACTCCCTCCCAGAGCCCACACCCCCTCCTGCACCCCAACCCCTGCCCCAGGCTCAGCCCAGAGTCCCCTCCCACACACACTCCAAACCCCTCAGCCCCAGCCCTGAGCCTGCACCCCCTCCCAAACCCTAACCCCAGCCTGGTGAAAATGAGGGAGGATGGGGGAATGAATGGAGTGAGCAGGATGGGACCTCAGGGAAGGGGCAGGGTAGATCCTGGGTTGCACTTAAATTCAAAAAGTGATCTTGTGTGTACAAAGGTTGGAAACCACTGTTCTAGATATTAGAGATGACACATAAGAAATTGCAAAGACAAGTGCTGATGAAGGAGTTACATGGTCCTATCAGTAAAAAGTGGCTTGCATAGAACTTGGGTACAGGATATGGTGAGTAGGTGTGATGTTATGGGGTGCTTTAGAGGACGTGAAGAGAGGCTCAGCATTTACACTAGGGTAGTCAATAGCGGATCATGTGCCAAATCCAGACCGCCAGATGTTTTTGAACGGACCCCCCAATTTTTATTTACTTATTATCATTTTATCTGGAGTCTGGACATTGACTATACCTTGACAAAAAACAATTACCTCTGCTTTACATCATAGATGGAAGGCTACGAAGAGATTCTATACATGTTAAAAAAAAAAAAAAAAAAACTCTCTGCAGTTGCACAGTGGAGGAGGTTATAGTAGTCACAGTGAAGAGAGGTACAGACTGGTGCCTTGCCAGTGCAGATTTTAACTAATGGTCAAATTACAGAAATATTGTCGAACAACCAGCAATGAGATTTGATGACGACGACTAAATGGGAGGGAAGGGAGAGTATAGACAAAGATGATGCTGAACTTATTGTGAGCTTGGAGTACAGGTAGGATGGTCTGTAAACAGTGACAAAGGAAGGGGAAGAGGAAGGGTTTAGGGAAGAAAAACCTCAAGTTTTGACACATTAAATTTAAGATGGCAAGGGAACATTTAAGAGAAAATCTTGGCCACACAAGCAAACATGCAAGACTAAACCAGAGGATGAAAGGTGCAAGTAGCAAAATAGGTTTGTGAATCATTGGCACAGAGTGGTTGATTGAATCTATGGGAGTAAGCACAGGGTAGAAGAAGCAAAGAAGACCGAAGTATGCTGACAACAAGAGAGGATGGGGTGGAGTGGGATGGGATGGGGGAGAGGGTGAAGCTGCATCCCAAAGGGAACACTGAAGAAGAGTTTGAGGATAGGATATAAAGAAACATGGGATTTTCAGAAACCAGGGTGTAGAAATTGTGGAGGAGACTGATCAACAGATCTGAAGATGGCTGAGAAATTTAAGAACTTGAACAAGTGACCATGAGACTTGATCAAGAAGAAGTCATTTGAGAGTTTAATGAGAGCAGGTTCATTGAAATGAAGTGGGTAAGCAGAGTGCAGGGGACTGAAGAAAGAACTGGAAAAGAGAATTAGTGAATGGGAAAAGACCATTTGCTTCAGGAGTTTGAAGGCAAAGGGGAAGAGGGAGATGGGCAACAGTTGAGGCAAGTGGGAACTGAGAGAAGATTTCTTTAGGAGACAGAAGACATGTACTTGCTTCAAGGAAGAGGCGAAGGAGCTAGAGAAGTGTGACTATAAGGGAAGAAGAGGTAACTAAGGGCATGTCTACACTTCCCGTGGATCGACACTTCTAGTGAAGACCCGCTAAATCAATCACAGATCGCTTTCCTGTCAACTCCAGTACTGCACCGGAACGAGA